GTTGCTTAGTGCCTTGCTGTTGCTGAGGCTGGCTTTGAACTCACAATTCTGAATTGTCTGTGCCCAAGCTGCGGGATTACAGGCATGCACCACTGCTCCTGGCTTTTAAGTACTATTCTTTGGAGGAAACTTTATTACCTATTTTTTTCCAAAGGAAATTTGAATAAATATTATCATTATAACGATTTTATTTTTATTGATTCCATGACTTTCTCATTGAAACAACCACTTGACCACAAAGTTCATCCACATTTTGACTTTAAACTTTTATGAGGTAACTTCTTTAATTAGATTTTCAGAAAGTAATATAAATTGCTGTTTATATAGTATCCCCTTCAGCATTTAATGGAATTTATTCATAATTCTCTGAAGGGCAAACTCTCTTTTTAATTTTCTAACGTTTTCTTACATGTATACTGCTAAACCCTAACAACCCTTTAGATGTTGGGTGCATTAAAAATACTCACTTATTTATAGAATCCTGGATTAATTGCAGCATTTGTTCATACTAGACTGTTTGAAAGTTATAAGTGGATTATAACTGAAGTTAAAGCAATTGTAATCACAGATATTTCTGGAATTATTTTTGCAGTTAAGGGCTTTGCATATGTTGGGCAAGTACTCTGCCTCTGAATCTACATCTCCAGCCCTTTTTATTTGATTTTGAGACAGGGTCTTGCTAAGTTACCCAGGCTTGCCTGGATTTTACAATCCCTCCATCTCAGCCTCCCAACTAGCTAGGATTATAGGTGTGCTCCACCACACCCACTGTTTGTGGAATTATTATTTGGTGGGGGTGGTACTGGGGATTGAACTCAGGGTCACTTGACAACTGAGTCACATCCCTAGCCCTTTTTGGTATTTTATTTAGAGACAGGGTCTCACTGAGTTGCTTAGCACCTTGCTTTTGCTCAGGCTAAACTTGCCTCTCGGCCTCCCAAACTGCTCAGATTACAGGGGTGTGCCACAACACCTGGCTTCTAGATTTGAGGGGGGGGATCTGGATGGAATATCTTTGGTTTATTAATTTTTATGTGGTGCTGAGGATGGAACCCAGTGCCTCACACATGCTAGGCAAGTGCTCTACGGATGAGCCACAACCCCAGCACCCCCACCCCCCAATAATTTTTTAAGCCTAAAATTTTTCTGTGGGTAAGGTTGGGGAGAAAGCAACAAATTTTTGTTTTGGGGTTTTTGTTTGTTTGTTTGTTCTTAATGACTAAATTTTCTTTACACAATTTTATTGCATATGGAATGGGCAATAATTATTATTATTTTGACATTATTTAATCGTAAGCTTGCATCATCTTATCAGAGGTGAATCAGTAAGATTTTAAATTTTACTATTTCACATATTTTAGAACTAGAAGATTTAATGAATTTTGCAAAGTCCACAGATAAACATTTTGGAGAGCTGAGGCCCACTGTTGTTAGTACTGTGCTTCTATGACCACACCCCATAAAATAAAACACTTTTAAATTGGTTTTCTTCTCATCTAGGGGCTTAGAGTGTCTGGGACTTAGGAAAATTATTATTATTATCTTTTTTGACAGTGCGATTGCTTTCTTAAAGGATCTTTCAGACTACATGGGCAGAAAAACACACCAAGAATTATAAACCTTGGTGTGCTGAGTTTAAAAATGAAGAGTCAGATTTTTAAAAAAAAAAAAAAATCCTGCTTAAAACAGTATTTTCTAATGTGATTACTTTTTTTTTTTAATTTTTGTTCTTATACATGACAGTAGAGGATGATTTGACTTATTTCTACAAACGTGGAGTACATCTTATTCAAAGTAGGATCCCAGTCTTATGGTTGTACATGATGTAGAGATTCGCTATATTGGCATCAGATTCACCATTTTAGGTTGGGAACCATTTTATCTAGAGGCTCCAAAGTTTTGATTCTGAGGCAGTGCTGCTTAAATTCTGGTAAGAAAGTGCCTGCTAAAGGATCAACCCCACTCCAGCTATGACACAACTCCTAAGCAGCTTATGAAATTTCTCTTGTGGACTATAAAGCTGCTCTGTGATTGCCAACTGACTGCTGCTCTCCTCAGAGGGACAGCCTTGTTGGTTTGCTTCGGGCCACTGACTAAATCTCTTGCGTGAGATTGAGTTGTGTGGTGTGGTCTTTGGACTTTGTGTGAACTCTGCAAGTAACCTTTCTCACTGTAGTGTCTTCATATATATACATATGAAATTTATGTCAGATTCATTCCACTGTCTCTCCTATTCCTATCTCGACTATCTTCCCTTCGTTCCCCTCTAACCTACTGAACTTCTATTCTCCACACCTATTGTGTGTTAGCATCCACATATCAAAACATTTGACTTTTGATTTGGGGAGATTAGCTTATTTCATTTAGCCTGATAGTTTCCAGATCCATCCATTTTATGGCATGTCGTAAAGGCACTCTTTTTTTATGGCTGAGTAATATTCTATTGTGTATATATACTACATTTTCTTTATCCATTCATCTATTGTAGGTCACCTAGGTTGATTCCATAGCCAAGCTATTGTGGATTGAGCTGCTATAAACATTGATGTGGGTATGTCACTGCATTTAAGTCCTTTCAGTATAAACAAGGAGTGGAATAGGTGGGTCAAATGATGGTTCCATTCCAAGTTTTCTGAGGAATCTTCATACTGCTTTCCAGAAAGGTTGCACCAATTTGCAATCCCACAGCAATGTATGAGTGTACCCTCTTGCCCACATCTTCTCCAACATTTATTGTTACTGTTTTCTTGATTGTTACCATTCTGACTGGAGTTAGATGAAATCTTAGTGTAGTTTTAATTTGTATTTCTCTAATTGTTAAGGATGTTGAACATTTTTTCATATATTTGTTGATTTGTCGTATTTCTTCTTCTGTGAAGTGTCTGTTCAGTTCCTTTTGCCCATTTATTAATTGGGTTATTTGGTTTTTTGTTGTTAAACTTTTGTTTTCTTTATATATCCTGGAGATTAATGCTATATCTGAGGTGCAGGTGGCAGAGATTTTCTTCTATTCTATAGGCTTTCTCTTCATGCTCTTGATTGTTTCCTTTGCTGTGAAGAAGCTTTTAAGTTTGATACCATCCCATTTGTTGATTCTTGATTTTACTTCTTATACTTTATGAGTCTGCTTAAGAAAGTCAGTTCATAAGCCTACATGATAGAATGTTGGGCCTATATTTATGTGGATTTATCTCTGTGTCTTTTATTCTGTTCCATTGATCTTCATGTCTGTTTTGGTGCCAGTACCATGCTGTTTTTTATTATTATGGGTCTGTAGTATAATTTGAAGCAACATATTGTGATATCCAACTTGCTCTTCTCCCTAGGATTTCTTGGTTATTCTGGGTTTCTTATTTTTCCAAATGAATTTCATCACTGTTATTTCTAGTTCTCTGAAAAATGTCATTGGTATTTTGATAGGGATTACGTTGAATCTGTGTAGTGTTTTTTTTTGGTTGGGTTTTGGTTTGGGGTTTTGGGGGGGGGGGGGCGGGGGGGTACCAGGGATTGAACTCCACCACTGAGCTACATCCCTAGCCCTATTTTGTATTTTATTTAGAGACAGGGTCCCACTGAATTTATGAGGGCCTCGTGCTGGTGAAGCTAGCTCTGGAGCCACTGGGTTTACAGGCCTGCTCATGGGTGGTTTTTACTCATGATTATATTTCTGATTCTTACCACCTGGCTTGTTTATATGAGTCATTCAGCAAATATTTGAATAAATGAGTGAATGAATTTAAAAATAAGAAGCTTTCTTGAATTCAATTATAGATTCTCCCAAAGTGTAGGGTCTTCTCTGCAGTGTGTATTTGTGTTCTACACTCACAGCTTGTCTTTTTAGGCATGTTATTCCTAAAACTGTTTGGGCTATTATACCTTGATTTTATACAACATTCTGCTGTACCGTTTACCTCACCCATTGTCCCACAGTGTGTTGCACTACCTGACTGGCTTCTTAACCTTACTGTCAGTGAGGAACTGTTTTCCTTATCATCTAAATCCACTTCTCCATGATCTGCTCAAGAATTAGCATATCTTGGCACAAAGTAGATACTGAAAAATATTGTCAAATGTGCCACAGTTTGATTTGAAAAGATATATATACTATATTTGTTTATAAAAATATAAACATTTTGACTAGAGAGAGTACTAAAGGTGTAGCTCATTGGTTGAGTTTGTGCTTGGCATGAATAGGGATCTGGGTACAATTAATCTGCAGTACCAGATAATAAAATTTTGACCAAAGAAAAGTCATTTGCAGAGCATATGTTGCTGGATTGTTTATTAGTGAATTGTTTTACATAATACTTTCTTACAAAGAAAGAATTGTAGTGATCAGATTTTTTTTAAAAGAAAGAGAATTTTTTAATATTTATTTTTTAGGCGGACACAACATCTTTATTTGTATGTGGTGCTGAGGATCGAACCCAGCGCTGCACGCATGCCAGACGAGCACACTACTGCTTGAGCCACATCCCCAGCCCGATCACATTTTTTTTTTAAATACTTGTTATAGGGTGTCATTTTTTTCAGCAGCCATTTGTCATTTTTCAGCACTGTGCATTGGGGGTATCATTGGGAACAAGACACACTCAGTCCATGCCCTCAAAGATCTGTGCTCTAGGAACATAGTTCAGAAGTTGGTATCCTTTTTTTTTTTGGTAATGGACCAAGTAGTAAATATTTTGGATTTTGCAGGCCATATTGTCTTGGTCCATATCCCCATTTCTGCCATTATGGCCTACTAAATAGCCAGAAACACTGTGTAAATAAATGAATGTAGCAGTATACCAAATTTGGCTCTAGAGTTGTAATTTACCAGCTCATGGTATAGTTCGCGTTTCTTGGTCTCTGTCTCTGTCCCACTCATAACAGCAAATTTTTGCTAAGTTCCATTGATTTATCTGTTAAAATTAGCTAAGGTGAGATTATATAGAAGAACTGGATCTCATCACACAACTGGCAAAAGCTAAAATTCTTTGTTTTACTCATTTATCCAGGACATTTTATTTCCTTACATCAAAGAAAATGTTAAAGAGTATCTGCAGACACATTGGGAAGAAGAGGAGTGCCAGCAGGATGTCAATCTTTTGAGAAAACAGGTTGGAATATTTTCTCTCACACATTCTCCTGTGTCTTATAGTTGAGGATGCCTAGAGTCTTAGAACGTTCTCTGAGCATACTGTAAAATCAATGCCCTCAATTCACAAGGGAAGAAAGTTGTAGTGACTTGCCAATTTAGGAATTCACAGTACATAATTAAGGTGCCAGATCATGGCAGATTGTTGTCTATAAAATTGTCTCTTTCAAAAGCTGTTTAAATTACATGAACATATTATTCATTAATAAAATGAAGCCCTTTCTGGGTAGAATGCAAAAGGTTTTATGCAATCTCATTGCATATTTCATTAATGTCTCCAAGTGACAGCTTCTTATCATTTTCCACTCTACTGCCTCAGGGCGTGAGTCCTTACCACCCATTTTACAGTGCTCCTGCATCCTCACACCCTGACACATGCCACACTTCTTTTTTTTTTTTTTTTTAAAGAGAGAGTGAGAGAGGAGAGAGAGAGAGAGAGACAGAGAGAGAGAATTTTTAATATTTATTTTTAGTTCTCGACGGACACAACATCTTTGTTGGTATGTGGTGCTGAGGATCGAACCCGGGCCGCATGCATGCCAGACGAGCGCGCTACCGCTTGAGCCACATCCCCAGCCCACATGCCACACTTCTTACCCATCTCACCCTAGGCCTGCCCTTCAGACTCACCTTGGTGGCATGTACTTCATCCTGCCTCTTCTCTTACTCAGTCCTCATTCTGTGTTCTTCTTTCACATTGTGTGCTATGCATCTTCTGTTCTCTTGATTTTCTTACCGGAATTGCTTTAGTGGCAAAGATCAACCATGAGGAGCAGCAGTAACTGGCAGTTAGTTTTCCTACACTGGATATTATAGAGTGCTCTCTATAATTCTGCTATTTAATATTACAGTTTAGGAACTATAGTCATGTTCTTTGAATCATGGGATATTTGGGTTTGTTGAATTTTCTGGATAACTCAGGGTTGATCTGAAGTATCCTCCCCCCCACCCCCCAGTGATTACCTTCTTTTCTCAACCTTGTTCTTGAAACATGCATACATAATCCCCATCCCAGACTCACATGCGCTCTTTGCTTTTTTTAAGAAACAGCGCTGGGGATTGAACCCAGGAGCGCCAGGAGCATTTTATCTCTAGGCTATATTATTTTGAGACAAGCTCTAACTGATTTGCCAAACCTGGTGTTGAACTTGTAATTATTCTGCTGGGATTAAATGTGCACCATCATGCCTGGCTTCCCTTATTAGGATTGCATTGTCACAAGGTTATTCTAAGTAGCTTTAGGGTTTTTGTAAGATGTGGGAGATTATAGTAGGCTGAATGTGAACCAATTGCATTACTTCACTAGTTTCTTTTCATTAAGTCTAGCCATAAACTAACTTATGAGATTTTCTGTTTCTACTTTAAATTAGTTATAGTACAGAGAAAATGATCAGATGCAATTGAAAATCCTGGTTTGCTGATCCTAATGAGTGAACAAAAAAAGACAGTTGTTCTTATAATTATGTGCTCATTCTCCTCACATATAGTATGCCTTTTGATTTAAATTTCAGCTTTAGCAATCTAGGACAGGTAATATAAACTTATTAATTATAATCCCATTTCTTTTAGAGGTCATTCTCTTAGGAATCATTTGCTAGGGCTTATGATGACTGGAGAAAATTTATCTGCCTGGTTTGGGGGGCTCATTTTTAATGACTTTTTTAAAAACTATGCAAGAAACAAACTTCATGTTGTTTCCAATTTAAAGGCTGAAGAAGATGCCCACCTGGATGGGGCTATTCCAATCCCTGCAGCATCTGGAAATGGGGTAGATGAACTACAACAGATAATCCAGGCCGTTGTAGATAATGTGTGCTGGCAGATGTCTCTGGACCGAAAGACCACAGCACTCAAACAACTGCAGGGCCACATGTGGAGGGCAGCATTCACAGCTGGACACATGAAAGCAGAGTATGTGCTCAAGTGACTAAAATATTTCACTAAATATGTTTCTCATTAGTCTTCTCTCTCCATTATAAGCCACATTGTTAGTAAAATGGACACATTAGCATTGTTTTAATCTAACAAATGAGCTGTTTTGTTTTTCAAAGCTGAGCTGAAAGGATTTTACTCAGCTGTATCCCAAGATGTTCATGTCTGGCTTTGTGGATGGTTGAAGTTAATTTTAGACCCAGTTTAAAACAACTTCCTAGAAAATGATGACTTCCTTGAACTAAGTCATATTGGATTCTTAGCATACGAGTGACAGCACTATTGGTCTATTTCCTCAGAACCAACAGATCACCTGCATTTTTGCCTTGTTAGAAAAAGAGAATACTGTGAATTATGAGCCCGTTATTTTGGGATTACACAAAATGTCAGCACTGCCACTTTTGCTAGCTATGCTCTTGCAAGTGTTTTCCACAGATCCTGTGAGTCTTGGTTAAGGGGTTCCTGATATTCTTTGCCTAAGGAGGCTCTAGAGTATCATATTGCTGAGAAATTCTTAATAAGAAAACCTTTGGATCCAAGACTTGTTTACCGCTACCTATATTTATTTTGTATTTCTGTCAAATGAGATGTCATTCCTTTATATGATAAACATCATGTGCCTTTTTAAAGGATATACTGGGATTTCAGGATATGCCAGTGATCTGGGAATATTCAGCTGGCTTAATCTATAAAACATTCAAAAGTGTGAAGCCAAGAGATTGTTTTCCCAGTAGTTGGCCTTTCTTTTGGTTCTTTAAAAAGAAGAATTGGTTCCACATCGCAGGTTCTTTTACTTTTCTTTTTACTTAGTTCCCAGGATATTATTTTGACCACTAAATATGGCAAAAACTGTAGAATCAATAGGAGACGTGGAATGTCGGGAATCAAAAAATCAAATACTGTCAAGTCTCTTAATTGATTTGTTCAGAATAAAGTTTTTTGTTTGTTTTTTCTGTGTAAAACTGTAGACTTTCTGAGTTCTTTAAAAAATTAATTCCATTATCTAGCTTATAGATTTGTAGCATTGAGCCCCCAGACTTTTTTTTTTTCCCTCATTGTTTTGGATGAACATATTTCTAGTTCCATGTCTTAAAGCACAGTGGACATAAATTAGCCTTTTCTTTTCATTAATTACATCAAAAATTATATTACAATGTAGTTTTAATTAGAATGTTTTGGTTTTTGCTTTTAAGTTCTTTAACAACTTTTAAAACACAGTTTATTTTGTTCTTTTGAGATATACATACATGACAGTGGAATGTATTTTGGCATATTATACATACATGGAGTATAACTTATTCTAATTAGGATCCTATTCTTGTGGTTGTACATGATATGGAGTAACCCTGGTCATGTATTCAAATACAAGGCTAGGAAAGTTATGTCCAATTAATTCTATTGTCCTTCCTATTCTCCTCCCCACTTCCTTAACAATTTAAAAACCCACTTTCTTATTTCCTTCGTTTACCTGTAATCCCTTTACATTGTCAAATTGTTCCATATAATCTGCTGTGTGATCTTGGAACTCTAGTAACATTTATTAGAACCACAGGAGTTCACACTCTATGTAGAGTTGGTTCGTAATGTTACCATTTGAGCACAAATAGAGAAGATTGTGTCATCTCTTTTCTCTGGTTTTCATCTGACTAATGATGTGTTCCTGCAGTTTAATTTTGTAGTTTTCCCTCCAGGTTCTTTGAAGATGTAGTTCCAGCAGTCAGGAAGTGGAGAGAAGATGGAATGAAGGTGTATATCTATTCTTCTGGAAGTGTGGAGGCTCAGAAACTATTATTTGGGCATTCTACAGAGGGGAATATTCTTGAGGTAGGTTACTTAGTTTGCTTTGTTTTGATACTATCAAAGCACAAAATAATAAAAGGAATGTACTACAGTATAAACTAAATCATTCAGATAATTACCTTTGTACATGCTGACAGATTGTAAAGAGAAGTAGAAAAACTTGAATACATTATAGTGAAGGGAGAAATGTTTTGTTTGGTGCTAGTTTTTTGATCAAAGTCTCAAACATTTTTGTGGGTTTACCTGCAGAGTTTATATTAAAAAGGTATATTCCTGGTCCCTGCTTCCTAGCTTTTTTTTTTTTTTTTTTTTTTGTAGTGGGGATTGAACCCAGGGACACTTAACCACTGAGCCATATCCCTTTTTATTTTTTATGTTGAGACAAGATTTCACTAAGTTGCTTAGGGCATCTCTAGGTTGCTGAGGCTGAGGCTAGCTTTGAATGTGTGGTCCTCTGTCTCAGCCTCCAAAGCTGCTGGGATTATAGGCATGTGCAACTGCTCCTGGCTCCTTCCTAGCAAATCTTAATTGGCAGGTCTGGAAGGAGGAACCTGGAATTTGCTTTTATAAACATCCACCCTAAGGATACTGATGAGGATAGTCCTTGAACCAGCTATTATATGTGTGTAAAAATAGGTATACATGAGTTAGCGTATTCAGGAATACATCCTCAATAAATCAGTTATCTTGCCAGTGTTAGGAAATCAACAACTCAAAAGAAACTAATGGAATGCTTCTTTTGATTGTTTTAAAAAAAAAAAAAAAGGTAAAAAGAAAACAGTCACTTTTGTTATTGAATATATAATTTCCTCTATATGAAGTAAAATTTACTGTCTTGAAAAAAAATAAAGATGCAAGCTGGCCACGGTGGCCTGCAATCCCAGAGGTTCATGAGGCTGAGACAGGAGGATCGAGAGTTCAAAGCCAGTCTCAGCAATAGCAAGGCACTAAACAATTCAGTGAGACCCTGTCTCTAAATAAAATACAAAATAGGGCTGGGGATATGTCTCAGTGGCCAAGGGCCCCTGAGTTCAATACCTGGTACCTCCCCACCCTCAAATAAATAAATAAATATGCAAAATAGGATCATGCACAATGCTAAGAAATACATAAAGACTTCATTTTTTGTTGTTGTTATTCTTTTTTTTTTCCCCATTGTGCTGAAATTGAGCCAAGGACCTTGTGCACACTAGGCAAGCAAATGCTTTATCACTGAGCTGCATCCCCAGCCCTAAAATAAATATTTATTGAGCCCCTGCTGTGTACAGAGAATACTTTGGCTTTGGAGGTTGTCATATTCTCACTTGAGTACTTCCCTACTTTTTTTTTTTATTAGTTTCTTTGTTTTAGTTAGGTATATATATGATAGCAGAATTCATTTTGTTGTATTGTACACAATTGCAGCACAACTTTTCATTTCTCTGATTGTGCACAATATAGCATCGAAACTTATGTGCAGTCATACATGTACCTAGTATAATGTCCATCACATTCCACCATCTTTCCTGCCCCCATGACTTCTTCCCTCCCCTTCCCTCCCTCCCTTTGTACCAGAAAACTTCTAGAATTAATAAATGAATTCAGTAAAGTATCAGGATATAAAATCAATACCCATAAATCAAATGCATTGTATACATCAGTGATTAATCCTTTGAAAGAGAAATTAGAAAACTACTCCATTCACAATAGCTTCAAAAAATAAAAAATAAAATACTTGATAATCAACAAAAGAGATGAAAGACTCTGCAATGAAAAGTACAGAACACTATAGGGGACTGGGGATATAACTCAGTTAGTAGAGTGCTTGCCTTGCATGCATAAAGCCCTGGGTTCAATCCCGAGGATGGGAAAAAAAAAAAAACCCACAAAATACTAAAGAAAGAAATTGAACATCTTATAACAAATAATGAAATTCTTTAATAATTTAAGACTGTTTTCTGAATACAGATATAAACTTTTCTGCTCTAACTAATGAAATAGGCAATAATAAGGTGAAAGTAGATAGGACATCATAATTATCTACTGAGTTCAATAATAAAAAAATCTTCTTTGGTTACTAAATAAATCAAACAGAGAGGAAGTATGCAAAGACCAATCTTAACATTTTTTAAAAGTTAAATCTTAATATTGCCTTAATTTGGTTTTGTGTCCTCTTTAGACTTAGATTGTGAAGAGTTCTGAAGACATTCAGAAGATTACATCATAATAGCTGAATATAAATATGGACTTACTTTAACTACTGTTGATAAAATTAGCAAGTGATAATTAGAGAAATCTTTTCATTCTAGGATCAAAAGGGTAATATTTAGAACCTTTCACAGAGGAAAATCCAGCCCAATCTAATATGTAGTTTACATATAGCGTTTTTAAAGTAGACTGTAGGACATGTATATTTTAGATAAGTTTGGAAGTGCTAATGAAAACCAATTGGATTCTTTATTTTGTTTTGTTTTAGTGCTGGGGATTGAACCCAGGGGCACTGAGCTACTACATCCCCAGTTCTTTTTTTAAAATTTTTATTTTTAGATAGGGTCTTGTTAAATTGCTGGGGCTGGCCTCAAACTTGTGAACATCCTACCTCAGCTTCTTTAATAGCTTGGATTACAGCTGTGTACTACCACATTCAGCTCATCCAAATGTTTTTTACTGTGAAATCTTTATATTTACCTTTTGGAGCCTCTATAAAGTCCTCTATTAAGTAGATTTTCAATAAATATTTACTGAATGAGTGAAGCCACTATGATTGTCATGAGATTCAGAGGGAAAGGATACTAAATAAAAGGGATTTAGTGTGTTGCAAGTGTACTTATAATAGAGTTAGTGTTTCTCCTCTCTTTGTTCAGCTTTTTGATGGTCACTTTGATACCAAAATTGGACACAAAGTAGAGAGTGAGAGTTACAAAAAGATTGCAAATAGCATTGGATGCTCAACCAACAACATCTTGTTTCTAACAGATATTACTTTAGGTGAGTAATTGGGCTTTCTTCCTCCTTCCTTCCCTTTTTTTTTTTTTTTTTTTTTTTGAAGTGGAGTCTTACTGTATTGCTCAGGCAGGCCTGGAGCTCCTTGGGCTCAAGTGATCCTCCAAGTAGCTGGAACTACAAGTACATCCCACTGTGCTCAGCTCAGACATATTACACTATATACTTCAGGAGAGGAGTTGGGCCTGATAGTATCAACATATTTCTTAAGTGAGAATTCTTGAAATACAATAGTTTTATTAAAAAGAAACAGCCACATGACCCACCTTCCTCTCCATTTACCAGTCCTTCAAGGTTGTGAATGGGAATAACACTGAAAAAAACTTTATTCTCTTCATTTTTCTCCATCATGGTACCCTTTACATCACTCTATATGTACACATATACACCAATGACGTGGGAGTATAGCAGAGGGAGACTTAATGTTATTGGGATGATCATGCAGGTCAGACCATAGGTGATGGTTAGTTAAGGACAAAAGAGTCACAGTGAACCTGTACCAGATGCATTTAATAGCAATGAGATCAGTTGTACACTTGTGGAAGGGGTATAAGAGAGAGAACTATAAATAGTTGAAGCAGTTTTACCTGTCATTTTGATCAGTGAGCTGTCCCATGATGAGTAGGAGCTTCATCTCTGCCTTCCTTCAATTGGTCTCTTTTCTCGAGACACCTATCGGGTAAATCTTGGGCTTCATTGTATTGATTTACCTTTTAAAGACTTTTTTTTTAAACTTAGCATTTCCGTTCGTATTATATACAGTACATTAGCATTATACATTATTACTTTAAGGGTTTAATGTGCAAAACAGCATGTACTGTCCTTTGTTGTTAATATAAATTATTTTAATAATAGTTTAGATCAAATTGGAAACTCAGGTTTTAGCATCTGTGTAAGAATGTGATCTAGAGAATTATAACAAACATAAGTGAAGAGGTAGGTGAAGAGTGCTTGGATAATGTAATATCTGATTCTTATTTGCAAGCCCCTTGCAAAGAAGGCATTCCCATGTGGCTATTTTTATTTATTTATTTTTGAGGGCTGGGGACAGGGTCTTGCTAAGTTTCTGAAGATGGCTTGAACTTAGGATCTTCCTGCCTCGGCCTCCTGAGTAACTGGAATTTCAAGCCTGAACCACCAGGCCTGGCTGGTTCCAGCATTTGATTGTGTAGTCATTCTTAGAGTTCATGCATCTCCTTGTGGGCTTACTTTTGCTGTTTATAATTTACTTGCATTTGAGGGCAGTCCTACATATTTGAGTTTTTCTATTCTATTATAAATTTCTCTGGGACTGAGATCACACCCCCAAAAGAGCAGTTCTAACAAACTGGATCTGTGGCATTAGTCTAGAGAAGGATGTTAGGGGGAGGAGGAGGCTGTTTTCTTGTCTAGGTGTCTCTACATGACTCCTGGGCCCCTTGGAGGGAGATTCAGTGGCCTGTATATAAGATTACTCTCTCTAGACCTTAGACCTTCCTGTTTGTTGTCACACAACTAAGTTACTTCTACTGGTCTGGACTTTCATAGAGGGGGCCCAAAGGAACATCCAGGTTGCTAGCAAAGGTTCTTGCAGATAATGTATATGATCTATATTCTTTGTCTTCTGCTGACACTTAATCTTTTGGTCTGATGTAATAGGTGAGAGTTTTAAGTATATAAGCAGGTGCTAATTTGCTAAACTGATCTTTTTTTTTTTTTTTTAATCTTAACTTAGCGTAGATCATTTGATGTGTTCAGAAGTTACACTGCCTTTTTCCAAAAACAGTAATTCTTAATATCTTTGTTCCTGCCTTGGACTCCCAAATTGCTGGGATTACAGATGTGTGCCACAGTGCCCAGCTCTTTAGCACTTTAGATGATAGATTTCTGCAAGCTTAGAATGAATGTCTGCTTTGTACCATCTCTCTACCCAGTGAACCACTTGTTGATGAAATATATGATTCCACTTTTGATCCCCATGCCTTTTCTCTATCCAGTTTTTTGGTTATATTGATAATACTATAGTTTCTTTATATTCTTTTTCTTAACCACTTTTTTTTTTTTTTTTTTTGGTAGTTGTACATCTATAATTTTAGGTCTTTTCTCTTTTCACTTAAGCATTTCCTTTGGGTTGCAGTTCCATAAATTATCTTCACTTTAAAGAATAGAAGTAATCCCCAAATGGGCCTCAAAATGAAATACCTTTCTCTTAGTCCTTTAAAAGAAGGTTTTATTTCTGTCCCTCATCTTCTGCCAGCCGCACACCCCATTAGGCAGGGTAAGAATTTGGATTATCTGTAGCTGGGATGAGGCCAGGTAGCTGGCTGCCTGCCTTTCTCTTTTCTGTCACTTCTGGTCCTGTGTTTTGGTACCACATGCTCAGGCTTCCACTGCCAAGGTAGAACAGAAAACCAAATTGATATCCCAGATGGTACCTAAGTATGAAAAAAAGAATTTAACGACCTCTTCTCATTGGAGAAAAGAAAAGCGATCCAAGAGTTTTAAGTCAACAAGTATTACTTAAGTGTCTCAATATTATACCAATAGAGCCAATAGATGCTTAAGAACAAAACTTGCCCTCTGTGATCTAGTTTATGAAGCCTGAATATGAAACAGCCACTAGCTAGTGTCAATTCCCAGATGGACTATAATGTCCCAACTTAGTCAAGATCCTGGATGCCAGTCGAGATGAAAGCTTTATTTAAGGAACTCATGCTCTGCAGCCAATTAAACTGTGTTCCTTTATTCATGGCAACCCAGAGTGTGATGGCTACAAACAGCAACCTCCTCCATAGTATATGCAGCCTGTTGCTTAAATGGGTTTCCCTAAGGGACCTTGGAAATGGTGCTTTTCAGTGGAAGTTCATATCTCCAATCTAGGCTCCAGAAAGGTCTGGTGGAGTATCTTTAGGAAACTTCAAGACACAGTGGCAAGTGTTCACGTTGGCCAAGTCGTCATGTCTATCCACACGAAGCCACAGAACAAGGAAAATGTTGTGATTGAGGCCCTATGTAGGGCTAATTTCAATTTTCAGTTCCCTAGCCACCAGAGGATCTGCATCTCAAAGAAGTGGGGCTTTATCAAGCTTAACACTGATGAATTTGAAAACATGGTGACTGATAAGCAGTTGTTCTGATGACTGTAAGGTTATATATATATCTCCAGTCATGGTCTGCTGGACATGGTAAACCCTGCACTCATCAGTCTGGGAGGTAGGGGCAAGTATAAGGCAGCTGCTTTTTCTGCTGACACGAGTGGCATCTTCGGTTTGCTTAATGATAGCATTCTTACATGAAGAATAGAGTCTTTAGCACTTGGTTTGCTCAGGGTCCCTAGGAAGGTGACAGGCCCTTTCATAACAAGAGCAGAAAGTAGACTTGTACAAGTGGACAGGGTTAAGAAATGGCTTTCCTCTTTCAGGAACAGCTTATCTCTCAACACTGCTGTCCTTTAATTAGTCCATTAACAATCTGCTACTCTTTTCCAAAAGTTGCAAAACTGCCAAAGCTTCCTGTTGTGCCAAATTTAAATTACATAGACTTTTCCAAATTTTTTTTTTAACCTGTTAACTTGACTGTCCTAAGAAGCCACATCTCTCTTACCACAGATCTTGTCCTGTTTGCCACTCTGACTTTCTCCGTTCTCCCAGATATATGTGTGTGTTTTATTTTTGCCTAGAATTCCTCCTGTCTCTGCCAGTTTTTTTTTCCCTAAAAAGTGCAGATAGTAAATACTTTAGTCTTTACAATCTGTCGCAGCCCATGTGACATTTATTCAGTTTCCCCAAATCCAGGCTGATGAGGGGATTGGAAAAAAGATAAACAGACACAAATGTAGAGAAAGCAGTAATCCTAATGGGAGAAGACTGGCCAGGAGCAGCTCCCCAAGTTTATTATATAGGTTTAAACATCAAAAGGATTTACTGTGAGAAAACTTTCAAGATAAACAAAACTAAGTTATGGGTAAAACAGCTCATTAAAGGTTGTCAGCTTGCGCTCACAATTCTCTACCTCCAGGCATTTAAACTCAAGGCCATTACCAATAAATTCTGTGAGCTGCACAGAATCCCTTTTGAAAAGGGCATTACCATCAGCTAAGCAATCTCGATCAGCACCTTTCTACCAAGAGTTCTCCAAAGGGCATCATCTCCTCTGCCTTTCAAAGAAACCTATCATTCATTCGCCACTCCAACAACAATCCATGTCACAGCTATTTTCAGCTCTCTCCTTATAATGCAAAAGTAATCAGATGATACACAGATAAATGGGTGTGGCTATGTTCCAATACAATTTTATTTACAAAAGCAGGTGGCAGCCTATCAATTGCCAGCTGTAGGTCTAGAATACAGATGATGGAATCAGACTACAATTTCAAATTTTAGCCCTATACCACCTGTTAACTCTCAGTTTCATATCTTTAGGATGGAGGTAATGATACTATCTTGGGGTTGCTATGAAGATTTCGATGAGAAGGGGAGCTCCAAGAAAGTAGGAGCTTTATTTTATTCACATATTTCTGATCCTAAAATAGTACCTAGCACATAGTACATGATAAATTCATGGGATGTATTAGTGGTTATTTTTCAAATAGAAGTAAAATAGAGAAAGTAATGTAACCCAGATGTTTTAGAGATATCTCCTACAATACCTAGTTCAATTTGACTAGTCCTATTTTTACTGTATCCCTCTGCTGCCACTGCCCCCCCAACACACACACACACACAAACTCTTTCTCTCTCTCTCACACACACACACACACACACACACACACATCCATGTATCTTAAGATGTTCATAGTCCAATGAAGAGCAGAATAACAAGTAGTTATAAATTTATATTGTGATAGAGGTAAACACAGAGTGTTAAGGGAGTATATGGAATGTTCTGAAAGTCAGAATATTTTGAGCTGCATTTTAATGAGCATAAATTTGCTAGGCCAAAAATATAAGCAGTTTAGTCAGGGAGCATGACATGTTGGGGCTTGGAGATGAGGGCAAGGCACTTCAACCTGATTAGATTATAGGATTCCTTTTGTGCCGTATCTATTTAATTGATAGATACTGCCAATTATCTGCCCTTTGGGAAATAGCTCAGTTGCAGGAAGGAATGGAGGAAGGTTATGGGATGGAACATGGCTCTGACCTGCATTCATAAGTAGCAAACTTAATAAAGCTCAGAAATGTAGGATACACTACCATTCTATCAAGTCCAGTTAGATCCCCCTCTCCAATTAAAATACATAACATAGTCAGCCCCAGTGTGCCCATCTTCTAGCTTCAACAAAAATCAAGGCCAAATGTTCTTCTGTTCTTACATCCCCCTGATGACTTTGATGCAAATTGTGGATGTTATAGTTTGATATTTCTGACACATACTTTGATTTTCACAGAGGCCAGTGCTGCTGAGGAAGCAGGTGTGCATGTAGCTGTGGTGGTGAGACCTGGCAATGCAGGATTGACAGATGATGAGAAAACTTCCTACAGCCTCATCACATCCTTCAGCGAACTATACCTGCCTTCCTCAGCATAGAGGAAACTTCCATAGAAGACCAAACTGTTCCTCAGAGTTGTCCCCCTAGTGTCTAGTTTTATTCTAATGGCAAAGTAACTTACTTCTATACATACATATGTATGCAAGTATATGTATGTGTATGCTCATTAATTTTCATGGGCACATAAGTGAGGGAAAAAAAAGTCTTAAGTTCAGTGAAGAAACTTATTTAAAGATGCTCTATATGTAGAAATAGTTTGAGACCCTAACAGTAACCCACATTGAGGGCAAATTGTAGTTGATAGAAGAATACAGATCAAATGTGTTATGAGTATCAAATCCTATACCAAAATGAGAACTTAGTTTTGAAAATTATTCAGAGGCCTATTTTAAATACTGGAAATACTTCAGAGACATTCTTAACAATTCATTTCCCTTGTTTAATGGCGAGTTAGAAGAGTTACAATAGCTGTATTTCATATTTGCCTCCCTTGGTACAAAAGATAAATTTGTTTCTGCTCCAAAAGAGCAAAATAAGGAAAGAAAATTTACCTGAGTCTAGATCAGTCAAGTATTTGTTACTGAAGAAGAAAATTACTAATCATGTGGCACCCATAGCCAGTACTCACCTTATCAATGAAAAACATGCAGATATAACAGCTAAAAAGGAAATGTGGTTCTTTATGTCCAACAAAATGATTCTAATTCTGCTAGTTTTACCAGTTGCCTTTCTAACTTTATCTTCACACAGTTTAAAAATATATATTAATTGCTACTTACTATTTTTTAAAATAAAGTTTTTGCTGAAATTAGTTCATAACACCCAGAAGAGCCCTAATATGTAATAGTTTCCCCTTGAATGTGAGAAATGTAAATTTTATAACAGCATTATTTATCCTGGTTCAATTCTAGTAGGATTCCATGTCAGTTTTATGTTGTGATTAATAAAAGCATTCTCTTCTTTGTTTTATAGAGGTCCCTGAACTATACCACATATTACCATAATCAAAACAAAACTCAGATTGAAGAAAAATTTTTTAAATAAGAATTTTACTTTAGTTTTGTCTTAATGTGTATGAAGCATGTTTTAATGAAGTGCCAGTGGAAAAAAATCATGGCCAGCATTTGAATTATATATATATGTGAGGTTACTATTTCATCTGGGTTCTAAAAGCTTCAGTGTATTAGTGGAGTTTCTTATATTTATGAGAGTCTTATGTTTGAAGTATATCAGATAATGCTTGAAGGAGGCAAGTATTTTTCCTAATGAATTCTGGAGAAATAAATTTAGGATGTTTCAAATAAAGAGAAGGAAGTACTCTTGCAAATATGAGAGGACAGGGGATAGAAATGATTTTACGTTGATAATTTTGATCTTCTAGTAGCTAATTTAAAGAATCTGAAGACGACAAAATGTAGTAGAAAAATAGAAATATAAATAATTTTAAAATGGAAGTTGTCGCGTTCCTGGAGACCAAAACACTCAGAGTCATTCCAGGGGAACTGGGCTGCGTGAAATAACCACACAAGAGACAGAAATACCTTTTTCTTTGGGGCTTCTGTGTCACTTCCTCTGACCTTAAGGGTTTGCAGAAAAAGAGCATGCATGCAAGCTGACTCCTTTTATTGAGGAGAAACCATTCAAATGAGGCAAGGAGTCAGGGTTTCAAGAGGCTGAGTCTAGCTTCATTATGTCTGTTGGTTGATATCTAGGAAGGCCACATCCAAGGGCAGAGTAAGAGAAGGGGACACACAAAGTGCGTTTCCATGGAACATTCAAGTCCAAACAGGGAAAAAGGGCAATATCTCAAAGGAACAGGTGAGTGAAGCTCAACCCATGGGGCTGCAGGAAGGCATGCCTACGAATGAAGACACATTTAACTGCATTTTTACTATTCTCAGGATCCAGATCGGGGCTACCCCTTCAGCTACTTAAAAGTTGCCAGATCACGGAAGTGACAGTGCTCCAACCTATTAGGAGAAGAAAACACTGGTCACATGAAATAATGGCCTCCCACAGGGAGTAATTTATAAATGATGGCAAAATCAAGAACGATAATAAAAGGATGAATTTTATATATTTTCAGGAAAAGTTCATGGATAGATGTCAGAACAGGGTATCCCTTAGTAATCATAAAGAAGGCACAATGCAAACTTCTCTTTCAAAGTGTTAGAAGCCCATAGTGGTTCCAAAGTCCCAAAATGGCTCAAAGGAGCTCATGAACAAGAAAAAAAAGGGTGAGGTCTAGAGAGTTTAGGACCCATAGAATCCAAGAATTTATTTTATCTTTTTCACCCAGTGGTGGTAAAAAGCAGCCAGTGGGGGCCCAAAGTGGAAGGGGAATGGGTGCTGGGTAGGAAAAGGGGGAGGAAAGAAATTCCTGCAACAAAGGTACTATTACAGGAACTGCCTGGGATTGTCCTTCCTTTCCCTTAGAAGGGTCAGCTAGCTGTGGTTGGCTGATGAAGTTTGCCTTTATCTTAGGCCAAAGATTTGTAAGTTCAAGGCAGGCCTTGGCAGTTTAGCAAGGCCTTAAGCAATTTAGAACCTATCTTGAATAAAAAGGGTTGGAGATGTAGCTCAGTGGTAAATGCCTCTGGGTTAAATCCCTAGTACCCTACCCCTCCCCCCAAAAAAGTAAGGAAGAAATGAGAAAATTATGCACCAGAATCTAAATTAGGAATTTAAGGGGCTCAGTATCTAGCCAGCAAAGAATTGGGGTAGAGAGGCATTTACTGTCTGTGATGAAGAAACTTCCTGAAAAACTATAATTCACACTGAGTAGAAAGATGCAATATCAGATTCAGTTTGTCAAAGTGGGATGTGAAAGGAGGGAGAATAAAGGTGAGTTGAATATTTCTTAGGTCCTAAGGAACGTTAGGGACAGTTAAGTATGTTGGAGATGGATGTTTGTAAGAACTTGAGGAATCAGTAAATTGGTTAAGAAGAATGAAAGATAACTGCAAAAGTGGGTATTGAACTAGGAGGAAAATTCATATAAAATTCCTTTCTTATGAAAGGAAGGAAAAATTCCGGAGATTCAAAAAAAATGAGAACAAAGGCATTTAATTTTCTCAGCATCTTCATTTGCAGAGAATATAGGAGATAAAGAATTTTGAAAGTCATGGCACTTTCTATTCCTGGGTCTTAATATGAACCTTCTAGTAGATTTTGTTAGTTGGTATTTTAGGAAGAGAAACCTCAGACAAAGGATTCTCTAATCTTTTTTTTTTTAATAATTATTAATGCATATTAATTGTACAAATTGATGGGATTCACTGTGACATTGAGTATTCTCTAATTATATCAGCATTTCTGGTGTACAAAGTTTTCCTATTTGGCCTTCTGGAAGTCTTATCTTAGTTGCTGATTATAACCCAAGTCAAGTAGAGAATTGCATAAGCAGAGATTGATCTCTATTCCTGAGACAGATTCATGACAGACTTTTCCCAGCAGATGGTGCTGTTTCTCCAGAAAACTAGGCCAGCAGATGGAGCATTAGGCGGGGAATGAGTATGGTTCATTTATTGATTGATGATTGATGGACACAATTTTATTTTGTTCATTTTTTTTATGTGGTGCCTCACACATGCTCTACCACTGAGCCACAACCCCAGTCCTAAGTCATTTATTCTTAAAAGCCAACAGCATGATATTGCAAGAGTCAGACTAGTTGTGGAAAAAAATGGCAATGTTCTCAAATGAAATCCACCCACTAATATTCTTCCTCTCCTTATCCCCTAAAGTGCATTTTTAAAAACAGTGATTTGGGGTAAATAGTTTTTCCAGCTACTGTGTTTTAAAAAGGCTTGTTTTCAGATTTTTTTTTCATTCCTATCAGAGTATAAAAGTTGAATATAGAATGTGCCAAAACAATTTGCTATCCTACCACCCATGCCTTGAAGGCAAAATGATATTATTCTCAACCTAAGATTTGGGAATACTTTGCAGATTTTGCTGATATACTTGGAATAACTAATAGAAGTAAAATTCACCACTCTCCTTACAAATTAACCCCAAATCTACTGTGAAGGGTCATATTCCCCACTGCCGTAGTACATATATTCTTAGAGGAGAGGGACTGTAGCCAATAATGACAACAAAAAAACTAGATGCAAGCAAGTGCTATACTTTTTACCAGGGAATGCAAAACACATGACCTTCATCTGAATGTGAAAGACTAGATATCGAAGAAGCTAGGAGAAATCATTTCATGCAGATAGTACAGCAAAGATCTAGGGCAAAACTTGGCCTATTCAGGAATTGGGAAGCCAGTGCCTGGATGCTGTCAAAAAGTACACAAAAACCAGATGATTAGGACTGGTACCCCAGTAAAGTGTCTGAATTGTGTTTTTTGGTGGTGGTGGTGGTGGTTTTTTTTCATTTTACTTTGTTTTTTTTTCAATGTTACATGCAGTTAAAAAGAAAAATAATTAACAGGATTATTAGCATTTACAATGCTTTACAAAGAAAAAGGACTTTAAAAACAATTTAGTTCAGACTTAAGAAAAAGCTCTAAATACTTATAGTAAATCTATTTCCAAATGTTCAGTTTGGACCAAAATTTAAGATAGCATTTGGTAGATATTTATTTCTGTTGTCTATTTGTAGTATTTTTTATATAACCTCTGATTCTTGGGATATCCAGCCCCCATTTTCCTAATTCAGCATTGTATTCTAAGTGTGGTGGGAAGTCACCACAGGATTTGAGCAGGGGATTATAGGATCGATTTACATTTTTAAGTAATTCTTTATGAGGTGGAGAATGGATCACAGGTAAGCAAGGTCATTTATTCTTAAAAGCCAACAGGAAGACCAGTTAAGTATGCCAGAGTTGAGTAAATAAGGGGTAAGATTTTTAGAAAATAGGAGGGGGAATAGTTAGGAGAACTACCAATGGACTGTGGAATCAAGGACATTGCCACTGCTGCTCACAGTCACAAAGGTGGCCACACATTGCAATGCTGGGCCTCCAAACTCACAACTCTGCAACCTTGCATGCCAGTTGCCACTGTCTTGCTTCTCTTTATAATCTTTGTGTTTATGTTGTGTTTCAATGACAGTATCTAACTTCAGCCCAGGACTCAATGTGTAACAGTATCTGGGAAATGTTTTTAATTTTCCAATTCCTCCAATTAGCAGGTGCAATGACAATTGACAGAGCCAGTTGCTGGATCTAAGATAGGAAGCTTTTACAGCAGTAAAGATAAAGGAGGGTGGCAACTTGCCTTAGGGTGATAATGGTGAAAACAGAAGTGGGCACTTTCAGAATATGTTTCAGAAATGTCAAGGACTGCAATTCTTGATTAATTGAATTTGAAAAGATAGGTCCTAGGTTTTTAGCTTGGATAGATGGCACCACTAAAAACCAGCAGTGTCACTGACACAATGTGAAAAGCCAATGCTGATATTGATTATAAATAAATAAATAAATAAATAACCAAACAACAATTGGATGTAAGTCTAGAGTTCAGGGCCCTGGATTGGATGGAGATCTAATTCAAGAGTTTATTGGCAAAGAAATGCTATGAAAAGCTTTGGGATCCTAAACTGAGCTTTTAAGTTCCAACATGAGAGTTTGAGCAAGGAAGGAGGACAGCAAAGGAAAAGGATTGGTATGGAGGAATGAAAACCAGGAGAATGGCACAAGTCAAAACAGGAGGGAGAACTTACATCAAGCACTGGTAAGAATTCAAGGAAGTTGAGATTACCAATGGCCCTTGGATTAGACAAGTACAGTTTCAGGAGAGTACTGGTAATGGCAGAAAGATTAGTTCAAGTTGAAGAGAGAATATGTTGTCTACCTAAATATTTATCAATTTTGCTGGTTTTTTTCAAAGAATCAACTGTGGTTTTGTGGTTCTCTATTTTGTTTATATGTACTCTCCATTATTTTCTCCCTTCTGCTTGCTTTGAGTTTAGTTTGCTCATTTTTCTAGATCTTTAAGATGTTTAGGTAGTAGTTTTGCAATCTTTCTTAGATGAGGAAGGGTACTAGGGATTGTACTCAGGGGGTGCTGAAGATGGCTTTAAACTTTCAATCCTCTTGCCTCAGCCTGCTGAGTCAATGAGCAGGTATATACCACCACATCCCATCATTCTTTCTTCTTTTTTAACATAAGCATTATAACTCTCAATTTTCCTCTAACCACTGATTTCACCAAATCCCATAGATTTGAGTATATTGTGTTTCTATATCTATATATTTGTCTCAAAGTATTTTCTGATTTCCTTTGTGACTTCTTGACACACTGACTATTCTAAGAGTGTATTGTTTAATTGCTATATATCTGTGAATTTTCTAAGGTTTTGTCTACTGTTGATTTCTGATTTCATTGTATCATACTTTGAGAACATCCTTTATACAGTTTTCATTTTTTTAAATGTATGACCTAACCTAAGACCTATTCTGAAGAATGTTTTTTATGCACTGGAGAATGTAATTTGCTATTGTTGGATGGAGTATTCTATACGTGTCTGTTAAGAGCTAGTTGGTTGATAATGTTACTTGAATCTTCTGTTTCCTTGTTGATGTTCTTTCTGGTTACTGTTATTCAATGTGAGGTATTGAGTTCTCCATCTATTATTGTTAAAATATTTTTCCCTTCAATTCCAGTTTCCCTTCATATAATTTGATGCTCTGTTGTAAAATATGTGTGTGTGTATGTGTGCGTGTGTGTTTAAAATTCTTATGACTTCTTGATGGGTTGGCCCTTTGATATTATAGTGTCCGTTGTCTCATATAATACTTTTGGTCTAAAAGTTTATTTTATCTAATATTAGTAGAGTGACTTCAGCTTTCTGTTTACATAGAATATCTTTTACCATCTTTTTACTTCCAATTTATTTATGTTTTTGAATCTAAAATGTGTTTCTTGAAGAGAGTGTATAATGGGTTATGTTTTAAAATTCATTCTGCCATTCTCTGTCTTTAAATTGTATTAGTTTCCTGGAGCTGCCAAGAACCACAAACTGTTTGCTTAAAGCAACAGAAACTTATCCTCTCACAGTTCTGGATGCTAGATATGTGAAATCAAGTTGTCAGGAGTCGGTTCCTTAAGAGGCACTGAGGGAGAATCTGTTCCTTGGCTCCTAGCTTCTGGTGATAGTGAATAGTCCATGGTATTTCCTGATATAGTGATGCATTAATCCAATTTCTACTTTATTTCACATGGCATTCTTCCTGCATCTGTATCTTATAACTGCTGTGCTGGATTAGGGTCCTATCCTAATCCCATGTAATATCATTTAAATTATATATACAATGATTTTCCAAATAAGATTGTATTCTGAGTTTCTGGGGATTAGGATTTCAACATATTTTGAATGGGCGGGGAAGAGGGACACCAAATTTAACCCATAACAGCAAGAATTTGTTAGGCTTTTCAGAGCCCTTATTCACCAAAACATCTCATTCTTCAGCCTTTCTTACCAAAGTTTTTGGTTCATTTATTGTTTACCTCAGTGTTACTCATTATTCCAGGTAGCTGTAATTAAAATATTTGGGAACTGGCAGAGTTCCAAGTTAGGTAGGTTAAAGGAACATCATTTGAGCAGGTCCTCCAAGGAGCTACAAGACAGGTTACTATGGACTAAATTGTCCCTCAAAGTCATATATTGAAGTCCTACCCACAAATGTGATTACATTTGGGGACGAGGAGTTAAGTATTAGTTAAGATGAAATGAAGTCATAGGAATGGGGCCCTAATCTCATAAGATTGGTAACCTTATTAGAAGAGGAGGAGACACCAGAGTTTATTCTCTCCCATGAGGACATAGAAGGTAGCACCTACAAGCCAGAGAGTTCTTGCTGGAAATGTAATCACTTTGACCTTGGTGGACTTACCAGACTCCAGAACTGAGAAATATCTACCCAATCTATATTATTTTGTTACAACAGCCCACACAACCACAATTCTTCACAAATAAGATGCATTACTTTGCTTGCTATGGCACTCAGAACCAGAAATAGGCTGTTATCTTCAAGGCCATCACAGAATTGGTACCTAGATAAATTAAAACACCACAAAGCCCTGTTTTTTTACTGAGATTTTTTTTTAATAAGTGTTCCCTGCTTTGCTGTGTATTTTTGCTTAGTTTCCAGAATCCCATAAAAGTTGTTTCTGATTTTTTTGTTTTGGTGCTGTTGTACTTCCATTTTAACCGATATCACCCCACGTTGCTGTTTTTGTTGTTGTTTTGGTAGTGCTGGGACCCAAACCTAGGGCTTTGTGCATTTGTTAGACAAGCGCTCTACCACTAAGCTAAACCTGCAGTCTCCATGTGCTACTTTTTACAGTATGACATTGACCCTCCTCTTAAGTCTGGATGGAAATGTATGATGCTTCAACCAAAAGAAGTCAACAAACATGATGCTTTGTGACTTCCCAGGCTTGGTTATGATGCAAGAACTCTTTTTTTCAAGAGCTGGGAGTTAAACACCTACTCTCATGTTGTGGGAGAGCCCAGACTTGCCTGTGCAGAGGAGAACAAAGCCCCCCCCACCAAGTTAACAGCCAGTTTTGATCTCCAGATAAGGGAAAAAAAAAAAAAACTAGCCTTCAGATGCTTCCAACCTCCACTCAGCATCTTTCAGATGCCATGAAACAGACACGAGCTATCCAGGCATTGCCTGTAGTTCCTGACCCACAGAATATATGACTATCATAAATGGTGATTTTATCCCTACATTTTGTGGCAATGTAGTCAGCAGCCACAGTAACTAAAATGGGGCCAGGCAGTGGACAGGATTTTTATCCCTTTCAGCACAGAGAGGTTTTAAAGTCTTGTGCAAGAGTATGTAGTTAAGGGGCTGAGGATATTTCAAATCCTATCTAGAGCTTGGGCATTTGACATGTACTGGTTGCTGCAGACATCATAGGAAATAACCCTGTTTATAATGTGGACTTTCCTCCTCAAGACATAGAGAACTGTTTGCTAGAACAAGCAGAATAACTGTATTCTCTGAAATCTGACTATATTAGCATTGTTTCCTAAATGCCAGAAAGCGGGTGGGGAACAACTATCAGTCATCCATTTGTTTTAGTATCTGTTGAGCATTTAACTATTTGCCATGCACTGTTCTAGGTGCCAGGTAAACATACACAAAAATCTTTACCTTCATGGAACGTGCATTTTAGGGGTGGAGAGAGTCTGATAACAAAGTAAAATGTGTCAATGTCATTCCTATCACAGGACCATGTTTTAAAGATGTTTTAGAGCATAATAGAACTGTAAAGAGGAATAAATAGTGCTGGGTGTTCTTGGAGAAGTTGCATTTGGAAGTTCAGGGGCTTCCGTAAGAATGTAGGCCCAGCAGTAAATGGATGGAGCTGGAGAATATCATGCTAAGTGAAATAAGCTAGTCCCAAAAAACCAAAGGCCAAATGTTTTCTCTGATGTGTGGGTGCTAATTCACAATAAAGCAGGGGCAAGGGCTAGAGAAAAATAGTTACTTTGGATTAGGTAGAGGGGAGTGAAGGTAGGGGTAGGAATGATAGTAGAATGAATGGGACATTATTACCTTATGTACATATATGACTACATGACTGGTTTGATTCTATATTATGTGCAACCAGAAGAATGAGAAATTATACTCCATTTATGTATGATGTGTCAAAGTGCATTCTACTGTCCTTTATAATTAATTAGAACAAATTTTTAAAAAATAAAGTGTAGGTCCTTGAGTATGAGAAGAAGGTAAGAGATTTAAGTATATGGAAGAAGATTGTCTAGGGCAGAGGCCACAGCAAGTACAAAGGACCCGAGGCCAGAGCACACATGGCTGTTGAAGAAAAACAAAGAGGCAGGGGAACTGGAACAGAGAGGGAAAGGTGAAAAGCAGGTCTTGCTGAACACTGCAGGGCATTTTAATGATTCATGTTTTTAGTGAGTATAAGAGAAGCCATTGAGAATTTTTAGCAGAAGAGTAATGAACTAATGAAACTGAAATTTGAGATGAAACTCAATTCACTATTTCTGCTAGCAGTGGGGTCTGCACAAGCTGCAGGCCTCTGCAGCCAAGAAGTGTTACAGCTCTTAATGGTGGGCTGTGCCCTCCAGTGTTGGAGCAGATTCCAGCAGCTCATTGTCAGTTTCTTCTGGGTTCTTGTCTCATGGATTCTAAGAATGAAATCCAGAAACCAGAAAGAGCGAGTGTAAGAGTAGGATTTCTTCAAGTGTGCACAGAAACAAAACTCAGACTGAAGGAACAGGAGAACCTATCAGGGGTTGCCATCTGAGTGTTTAGGGGTTTATATAGCACTTAGGTCAATGCTATTGATCCAAAATTATGCTGGATAGGGTTTGTAAAAGTACTAATGCTGTTGGTTAGCCCTGAATCCCATTCAGGTTTGCCTTCCATTTTCTCCTAGCTCCTCAGGAAGCCAGTGGTTAAAGGCAGTGGATCACACATGCTCCATGGGTGGAGGGAGGGGTCTGGAGACCAGCACTGCGTGGAGCACACTTCTTCAGCAGGCATCCACACTGTGTGCAGGCCAGACTGCTGTGAGGGGACAGGTTGGCTTGCCCCAGCCCACCTCAAGGTGCTCCTCAGGCCCTACCTGGTTTGATGGGCTCTTTACAGCACCCTGTGCTTCAGCCTCCTGGGCCACCACTCTGTTGTTTCAGCACTTCTCCTGCTGCTTCTTAGCAGGGACCAGTGGGCTGGCCAGGAATCTGTCACTAATTTAGCTTTCTTTTATTTCTTTTTTAATGTAAAAGGGATTGGAACCAGGGGCACTTAGGCACTGAGCCACATCCCTAGCCCTTTTTATTTTTTGAGTAAGGTCTTGCTAAATTGCTTAAGGCCTCACTAAATTGTTGAGGCTGGCCTCAAACTTGAGATACTTCTGTCTCGCTCGGCCTCCCAAGTCACTGGAATTACAGGCATGCACCACCTGGCTAATTTAGCTTTTAACAAAATCATTTTGACTTCTGTATTAAGGACGGTTGGAGGGAGCAAATGATGGAAGCAGAGAGACAGACTTTGGAGGGTTATTCTAAAAATTCAGAATGGACAGTAGTGGCTTTGACCAGATGGTGGTAATAGACAACTGTAGTCATATACTTTAAACGCAGACCAGACCAGAGTTGCTGGCAGATGTGGAGTGTGAGAGGGAAGAGAAGGGAATGAGAGAAAGGAAAAGAGCAATCTGAACAACTGACACATGAGTGTGCTTAACTTAGATGACTGGGAAGTCTGCATTTAAAGGAATAAGGTTAGATAAGCTAAACGTGAGATACCTTTTAAGTGGAGATTTCATAAAGGTGGTTGAATATACAGATCTGGCATTTAGGATAGAGGCCTGGGCTGAAGAACTTGAGAAAGGTCAGCACATGGACATATTAAAAACTAGAACACTGAATGGGGTGACCAGAGTGTGTGGGTAGACAGGAAGAGTTTCAAGGACTGAACTGTGGGTTACTCCATTATTAGGATGTCAGGGAGAAGACCCAGCAAAGGAAATTGAGGAATGGTAGTGAAACAGGGCATGATGTTCTGAAAGCCAGGTAGAGAAAATGTTTTCTCTGTTACGATGGGTTCTGTAATGATTTTTTGGAGCTTCCACTTAAGAGGAACGATGATTAAAGAAGCTGTGAATACTGTGGTGGTCACTAGGTTGTTTACAGGTGTTCCTCCCATTCTGGGCTCATGGTAGCAGTGCCACTCTTAAATATGTCCACATGTCCTAACCAAGGAAATGTAAGCAAAGTGGTATTTGTCACCTTCTACAGAAGCTTGAAGAGCCAGTGAACAGTCCCTCGCATGTTCTAGGCTATGAGCAACTGTGGAAGCATGAGGAAGCCTGGTTGGCCAGAGACAGGCAGATTTCCTGGCTGACCCTGATAGACATCTAGTATGAGAAATAAACGTGAGTTTTGTTAAGATAGCAAAACTCAACCAATCCTGAAACAAAGCCTGAAGACAAATAATAGTGTCCCAGGCTCCAATTATAACCAGCAGGATTACAAATTTAAGGATGTAAAAGTTTTCTTTATAAGGGATAAATAAAACCCAGCAGCAAATAACACAGATAATAGTTTTCCTCTCTGTCAGTTCTCCATTAAATAACTATTAACTTTTCTTCTTCAGAAACTTCCAAAAGTAGGGTTGTGGCTCAGTGGTAGAGCACTTGCCTAGCATGTGTGAGGCACTGGGTTCAAGTCTCAGCATCATATATAAGTAAATAAAATAAAGTTCACTGACAACTAAAAAGATTTTTTTTTTAAAAAAAAAAGTGATTTTTAAAAAAGAAACTTCCAAAACATAGTTTAGTGTATTTCCAATTTTGTTCTCTGTGCCATGCAGGAATGCTCACTTCAAATGCAGATTCCCTGGTCTGGGCCCCTTTGAATGCTGATGTTCTTCCTCTAAGAAGGCTTCATAATCTTGTTCTTTATTTAAATAATGTGTGGTTTGGTACAAAAATATTTGTGTCTTTGTCCCAAGTTCCTGGCACAGAACTCTTGGAACTCTTGGAATTTACTGAGTGATGGAAGAGGTGTCTTCTTCGGTCTTGACCCCTTTTGATCACAACAATTAATACTAATCAATTAATACTAATGAGGTGACTTAGGTGGGTGAACCTGGTTAGCCTCAGAATGTGGCTGGTCACCTGAAAAACTAGGTGCTTTGACCTCCAACCTACCAACTTCTAGGAAAGGGGTGGGGACACTGGAGGTATAGATATAAAATAAACTCTGAATGAGCTCTAGAGAGTTCCTGGATTATAAACACCAAGGCACTAGGAGGATGGGATGCTCTAAGGACATAGAAGCCCCATGCACCTTCCCCTGCTCTGCCCTGTCCTGAATTGTAACATTTATAACAAGCCAGTGAAATGTAAAGCGTTTTCCTGAGTTCTGCAAGCCATTAATAGCAAATTCTTGTACTCAATCTGGACATAAGTGGGGACAGTCTTATGCAACTGAACCCTTACACCTGTGGAGTCTGATACTAACTCCGGGTAGTTAGAGCTGTAGACACCCAGTTGGTGTCCAGAGTCAGAGAACTGGTTGTTGAAAACAACGTACCAATGTAACACTGAAGTTCAACATCATGTCTCACTGCTTACACATTTCAATATTAGAGAAGAAATGTTAGTGCAAGAGACAAGGAAATCACAATTCTGCATAAAAGAATTTTATTTAATGGCCAGATCCCAATGAATAATGTTAGCCATTGCTTGATTCTGCTCAAATGTGCTATTAGGTATATTCTTAAGAAAGTGTACAAGTGCATCACCAAAAGCTGTCTAATTTGGATTGTGGAGAGTAAAGTAAAAGTTCATAAATCTTTGTTCTTTGATAAAATTTTTAAAATATAAAAATGAAAAAAACAGAAAAGCAGTATTTAATAAACGTCACCTTGGACTATTTACAGTAAGATGCCTTTTTATAACAGAATACTCTGCTTGATTCTTTTCCTCACATTTTACTTAGAGGTATTCCCATGTCTTTATCTGAACCTTATTCATGATTTCTTCCTCTCGTGTCTCATATGAAACAGCCATCTTCTCTTTTCACTCATCTTTGAGTCTCTAATACTTCTTTTTCCTCACTAATAAATGATTAACAGTTCTATTCAACA